TGTGCCTGCAAAGGCGGGTACACTACTGAGCAAACGTCACTACACAAGGGTGGGGGACTTTGGTGTTAATCATGTTAAACTGAGTGGGTAAAGGACATAAAGTGACCGCCCCCAAATGGAAGGTTTCCTGGTATAAAAGGATTTGTGCCAAAGCTGCAGTCATGTTGTTAATCCCCATATGAGGATATTTTTCCCCATTGCTTTTCAGGGGGAGAGAGAGAGAGAGATCGAAGCGAGCGAGGCTGGTTGCCTCCTGCACTCACCCTGACCAAAGGCGGGGAGCAAACCCACAACCCACGTATGTGCCCTTGACCAGGAATCGAACCCGCGACCCTTGGGTGCTTGGGCTGATGCTGTAACCAAGGAGCCACGCCGTTCAGAGCAAAGCCATAGATCTTATCTGAGGTCCATGAAGAGAGAACCCCGCCCCCAGGAACTCCATGGGGGGTCTCGCCAAAGGGGTTGGAAGTTCTCTTGCTCCAAAACAACTCTGCCCCAAGGAGTCAATGACCTAAGTGACCACAGACTCCAGAGCTGAGGGGGCTGCAGTGCTGTGGTCACCAAGGGGCTCACTGGTCACACTCACAGGGAGCTGAGGTTTCTCCCATCTTGTGGAGCAGCATGACCTCTGGGTGAGGGCGGGGCCAGCTCTGCATGGGGGCGGGGCCATCTCTGTGTGGGGCGGGGCCAGCTCTGTGTGGGCGGGGCCATTTTGTGTGGGGATAGGGCAGCTCTGCATGGGGGCGTGACCAGCTCTGGGGGACAGGGCAGCTATGTGTGAGGGCGGGCCCGCTCTCGCAGGCTGTGCCTTGGCCATCGGGAGAGTGGAGGACAGGCAGCTGAATGCGTGGGCCGCGTGCTAAGTGTGGGGTGCGAGCAGGGCTGGGGCCCCGTCGGGACCGTAGGTTGTCACGTGGACAGGAAGTTTGCCCAATGGAGCAGGGACATGGATCCGGGCTGGTCAGTGCCGCGTACACAGTGGCCACTGCAGCCTGGGGGTCAGCGCCGCCTCCTGACTCCTGGCGGGGACACACCTCTTCCCAGGGGCCGTGGGGCGGCCAGAGCACGAACACCTGGTGCGCGTCCGCTCCAGGTCTCGGAGGAGATGCGGGAGGCAGGGCCCCCACACCTGCTCTGTGGTGTCCGGCACCCAGGAGCCCAGAGCAGACGAGTCATAAGTATCCAAACGCTCCCGTCACACTGTCTGCAGAGTCCACAAAACCCACTTCAGATCGGAGAGGAAAGGGTGGTGTGAATGTTGTCCCGAAACCTCAGGGCGCATCTTTTTATTTTTATTTTTTTAATCCTCCCTGAGGCTATTTTTCCAGGGAGTTTTAGGGAGAGTGGAAGAGAGAGGGAAAGACAGAGAGAGACATGGATGTGAGAGAAACACATCGATGGGTTGCCTCCTGCACACGCCCGACCAGGGCCCTGGCCAGAGAGGAGCCTGCAACTGAGGTACATGCCCTTGACCGGAATCGAACCCGGGACCCTTCAGTCCACAGGCGACGCTCTATCCACTGAGCCAAGCCGGTTATGGCTTCAGGGCGCATTTAGACAGAAGCGGGGATGGTGGGAGCCGAGTGAGAAGTAAACTGAAGGAGCCACTATGGCAGCCACTTCTGCACACGCCCAGGCCAGGCGGGACCGGGTCCACAGCTCGGAAGGGAACCGTCTCGGCGTTGCCGACAACATCGGGGAAACATTGGGGGAAGAATCAATAGAACTTTCACTGCAAATTCTCGGCGATGACAGAGCCAGGGACACCGGTTCAGAGAGTCATTCCCACCATGCGCTGTCCGGCCTGGCCACCCTCCTGGAGGCCACCACCTCCCCGGCAGCCTCGGCCGCTCCCCATGACCACTGCACCCACTGACGCAGCTCCCACGCCGCCCACCGCAGTGTGGAGCTGGCAATGATGCTGGGAAGCGCTGTGCGGGGACCCCTCCGTGCTGTGCGGGGACCCCTCCGTGCTGTGCGGGGACCCCTCTGCAGAGTTGCCTTTAAGGAGGAGGGACTGCTAGGGGTGGAACCGTCCACTTGTATAAAACTGACCGCCTTTCTAGCTGCCGCTGAGGAAGCGGACTCGATAGGGAGTGCGTTGACGTGCGGCTTCTCTCTGTTCCTTCAGCAACAACTGGATTAAAGCAAGTCGCTCCCAATGTTTTCATCAGCCGGGCAGGCGACAGGGGTTTGCAGGGGGAAGTCAGTCCAAAGCTAGTCCCTGCCTGGCCTGGGAGACCGGAGCTGGGGGGCTGTTCCGTCAGGGGTTAAGGGCACAGGCCCGGGTTGCAGGCAGCAGCCCCTCCTGGGATCCCTGCAGCCTCCCTCCTGCCTGCACCAGAATCCTGACCGACCGACCGAGCACCTCCCCACCCCCCATCCGTGCCGGGCTCTGCTTTCTGCCCTACCCACGCCCACGGCTGCCCGGGCACCCACAGTCCCGCAGACCGCACAGGGAGGTGGGCAGGTCTGTGCCCCGTTCCTGGTGAGGGCGTTGGTGAGCGCTGCAGGGTAGCGTGTTGCGGTAACTGGTGACACGCTGGCCCCCAAAGTGTGTCTGCTGTGGGGGGGCTGCACCGTGGGGACAGCCGAGAGCCAGCGTGGTCTCCATGTCACGATCCCCTGCGTGACCTTCCTCGTGGCTCCGTCCCCACAGACGAGCTGGCCCTCACAGCCCGGCTCTGACGACTGGCCCGTCGCTCATGGAGGTGGTTTAGTCACATCAGGGGGATAACGGTACCCACGTGGCTCCCTCACGGTTAGCGTCCTCACAGCGAGCTCACGGCGGGGAGGCGGGAGGAAGAATGCTCCTGTCCTGTGCGCGCCCGGCCTCTTCCGGCTCCGAGTATCGCCTCCGGGCCCGGGGTAAGGAAGGCTTCCTGCGCACACTCCACTTTCATATACGTATTGATGTCGTATCACATAGTTATTGATTCCAGAGAGGAAGGGAGAGAGAGAGAGAGAAGCATCCATAGTGAGAGAGAGTCATGGACCGGCTGCCTCCTGCACGCCCCACACTGGGGGTCCAGCCCACAACCCGGGCCTGTGCCCTTGACCGGGAATCGAACCCGGGACCCTTCAGTCCCCAGTTCAATGCGCTACCCACTGAGCCACCGGCCAGGCTGCACCACCTCCGTAAACCAAACTCCTCCCAAGGCTGACGACGGCATCTGAGCGGCTGACACGGGGCCGCCTGAGTTTCCCTCCCGCGTGGGGAGTGAGCAGCATTCAGCCGGCAGGCGGCTTCCGAGCGCTCAACTCAGAGTTTTGAGCCCCGTGACGGAGGGGCGCTGCTTCTCCTCCTTAGAACCGGCGCCCGGGGTACCGCTCGTGCTCTGTGTCCTGGTCGCGGCTTCTCAGCGCTGTCTGTGTTTGTGCCCCGCAGTCCTCGGCAAGATCCGGAGCGCCGTCGGCAGCGCCCAGCTCCTCATGTCCCAGAAGTTCCAGCAGTTTTACTGGCTCTGCCAACAGAACCTGGTGAGTAGACGTGGCCGCCCCACCGGGCACGGGCTGCGTGCTCCTTCTTCCCCGCTCCCTGGGTCTGGCTTGTTAAAGACGCCGTTACTGCGCAGGCTGAGTGCAGAGAGGGCCCTGCCCGGCTTTGGAGGGTTCAGATGGGCACCCCAGGCCCAGAGGCTGGGAGAGTGGGTGTGGGTGGGCGGGGGCGGGGCCTGCAGGAGACAGGTGCGCCTGGCGCGGTGTGAGGTGGGGCCTTTGCCCCTGGCTGTCCCCCGGGCCCTGGGGAAGGAGAGGAGGCCTGGACTGCTACGGAGAATCTCACAGGCACAGACAAGGATAGGAGGTGGCTTCAATGAAAACACACAAACAACCACATTTAAAGAGACTAAGAAGAGATTTTAAAAATAATTTGGGCTTTATATTTTACTAGAGGCCTGGTGCACGAAATTCGTGCAAGAGCAGGCCTTCCTTCCCCCAGCTGCCGGCACCGGCTTCCCTCTAGCACCCGGGACCCAGGCTTCCCTCCAAGCCCCGGCTTCGTCCAAAAGGTCGTCTGGAAGGACATCCGGTCTAATTAGCATATTACACTTTTATTATTATAGACTAGAGGCCCGGTGCACAAAAATTTGTGCACTCTGGGGGGAGACCCCGGCTTCGTCCGGAAAGTCGTCCGGAAGGTCGTCTGGAAGGACATCCGGTCTAATTAGCATATTACGCTTTTATTATTATAGATGGTCAGGAGTGAAATGAATATAGCATTGAACTAGATAATTAATACGGTTGGCACTAAACTTGGTTCTGATCTTCCTGAAAATGAGAAGGAAAGAAAAGCCATATATTTATATACAGTGTTCCCCAAAACTGTATACACACACTGAATAATTGTACAGGCAGTGTTCATTAAAATACATTTCAGCGTGGCCAGTGTGGCGCAGTGGTTGGGTGTCGACCTATGAACCAGGAGGTCACGGTTTGATTCCAGTCAGGGCACATGCCCAGGTTTCAGGCTTGATCCCCAGTAGGGGGTGTGCAGGAGGCAGCCGATCCATGATTCTCTCTCATCATTGATGTTTCTATCTCTCTCTCCCTCCCTCTCCCTTCCTCTCTGAGATCAATACAAATGTATTTTTAAAAAATAAAATCATATACGTTTCATTTTCAAAATTGAGCTATCAGCTGTTAAAGTGTGTATACATCTTTGGGGACACCCTGTACATGCATATTAACATATATGTTTATGTATACTTAGTTTTATACATATTTATATATGCCTACTTTCATGTAAATATTTCTATTTCTAAACATGATATATGTACACATATAAATACTTACACGTCCGTGTATAAGGGCATGCGTGTGTGTCTGGGCACCTGTGCACATTTCTTATCCGACTAAAGAAGTATTCGCTGAGTATATCCGGAGGAATAGCTAACTGGAATTCACATTAGTGTGTGGCCATCTCATTATTTTTAAAAAATAAAATAATATACGTTTCATTTTCAAAATTGAGCTGTCAGCTGTTAAAGTGTGTATACATCTTTGGGGACACCCTGTACATGCATATTAACATATATGTTTATGTATACTTAGGTATATACATATTTATATATGCCTACTTTCATGTAACTATTTCTAAACATGTTATACGTACACATATAAATACTTACACGTCCGTGTATAAGGGCATGCGTGTGTGTCTGGGCACCTGTGCACATTTCTTACCCGACTAAAGAAGTATTCGCTGAGTATATCCGGAGGAATAGCTAACTGGAATTCACATTAGTGTGTGGCCATCTCATGATCCAGACTCGGATTTCTTTCAGACCAGACATTCCCATTAACATGCAAATCGCTCTCGGAGGCCTCCTGCCGCTGGGGAGGGGGCTGTGCTGGTGAAAAAGTGAAAGGGGTAAAGGAAGATATTGGGAGAATGTGTATTCTTGACTGTCAGTGACTAAGGATAGAGGAGTAAGTGAGAGAGAGGAGTAGCAGGAGAGAAAATGAACAGGAAATAGTAAATAAAGGAGGTGGTAAGGGGAAAGGAAAGAAAAAAGATAGAGAAATAGATGAAAAGGGATATTAAGTAGATGAGATGAGAGGAGAGGAGAGGATGGAAGAAGAAAATAAGTGAAAACAAGAAGTGAACAAGGCAGAAGAGGGAGGAGTATGAGTGTAAGTAAGGTCATCCTTCCAAGAATCAACAAACTACAGCCAGTGAGCCAAATCCAACCTACTCACTTCTTTGTAAATAAAGTTTTATTGGAATACGACCAGGCCCCTTGATGTATATGTGGTCTATGACTGTTTTCCTGCTACAATGCCAGAGTTGACTAATTGTGATGGAGATAGTTGATTGTATGTGATCCCAAACTTAAAATATTTACTTTCTGGCTCTTATGAAAAAGTTTGCAGTAAACCCAGTTGTTCTCAAACTTTAGCATGCAACAGAATTGCCTGGAGGGCTTATTAAAGATTGCTGTACCCCACCCCCCAGAGTTAAACATATCTGGAGTTGGATCTCAAATTTTCTTATCTAATAAGTTCCCAGGTGATGCTGATGCTGTTGTCAGGGACCACACTTTGAGAACCACTGCTCTAATCTTCACATTATATCGCACTAAGATTGCTCTAAATAAGGGCTTCTGTGCAGAAAGGGAAAGGAATATCAAAGGTGTTCTCTCTGTTAGGTAAACATAGATACATTGCTTGATATCACAGTTGTTTACAAAATATCTATTTAAAAAAATCTTTAGAAATGGATCTTTTTGTAAAGCTGGTTTCATTCTTAATGAAAAGTAAATTTGATTTAGGTAAAACCTTAGGTGATTTAAAGTCTGTTCCTAAAACTGTTTTGTAGTCTGGTTTGATTCCTCTCCCTGAAGTAGCATTGGATTCTGTTAATGCCATTGCTTGTCTGTGTCACTAATGTCAACTGCATCCAGTTTATGTGGGGAACCTCTCCTCACGGATAGGGGGCTCCATAGACAACCTCACTGCCTCTACCTGGAGCCCCTAAGAAACTAAGCCATAAGATGATGGAATTTTGCTTCCCACCTACCCCACCTCTCTTAGATTATGCTGGAGTCTTCTGACTCTAATTTCCCATGAAATTGCAAATTCTTCAATAGCTTTTCTCCTAGAGATGGGCATGAATGTTGTCCTAGGTGTGAGACCTTTGGAAATCATGATTCCAAAAACTTAATCCAGCCTAAACACTCCATCTCAAGACCCTGAACAAAAATTTCCCCTGCAAGTAGAGCCATGGGTTGCACGGTTGTGATCTTTCTCTATTTGTATCCTTAAATCCGGGCTCTGGCTATGAATGTGGGCAACCAATTATTAGCCTTAACTTTGCATGATTCACACTTGATATATGGAAGTTTTGTAAAGGATAGAGAAATGTTTCTCTTTTCTCTGCATCCTAGCATTAAAAATATAGAGAGAAACATAATTTGGGAACTTGAAAGTTCCAGAGACACCTTCAGAATAGGAGTTCAACTTAGAATTAGCAGCTCTTTAAAATGTGTGAAGGGCCCGGCTGGCATGGCTCAGTGGTTGAGTATCGACCTATGAACCAGGAAGTCATGGTTCAATTCCTGGTCAGGCTACATGCCCAGGTTGCGTGCTCAGTCCCTAGTGTGGAGTGTGCAGGAGGCATCCAATCAATAATTCTCTCTCATCATTGATGCTTCTATCTCTCTCCCTTTCTCTCTAAAAAAAAAAAAAGAAGTGATCACTTTGACATGGGTATAGACCGAATGTCCCCAAACCATCACGTCGGAATCCTACCCCAGTGCGATGGTGTTGTGAGGCGGGGCTTTGGGGGTCATCGGGTCGTGTCTTCATTAAATGGGTCCCAGAGCTCGCTCCCCTCCCCCATGCGAGGCCGGGAGGACGGGGAGCACCGTGTGTGAACCGGAAAGAGACCCGGCACCGCCAGCACCTTCCCCTCGGGCTCGGCCTCCACAGAGAATCCCCGTCTGTCGTCCGTGAGCCGGTCCTGCTGCTTCTGTCCAGCCGCCCACACAGACCAGGACCCGGGTGAAAGGCAGCTTAAACCAAACCAAACTGCAGGCCCTGCTGTGCTGCCCGCGGTGACGGCCAAGGAGGCTGAAGGCCACGTTGAAGCCGGTTCCGACGAGTATTTACCCACAGAACGTCCCGGCTGTTTAACGAGAGGGGCCCTCGCCGAATCGGAACCACGTGCGAATCGCTCGAACCCTTCACCAGGGGCTGCAGCCGGAGGCAGCTGTGGCAGGGCCAGGGGCCAGGGTACGGGTGGGAGTGGCCAGGCGGCCAGCCCTCTGGGAGGGAAGGGCCCGGC